CGAGCGCATCCGCCCTATAGCAAAAACCTCTCCAAAAAAAAAAGAAAGACTCCTCCCGAAATGTGGGCGGGTCCCCGGGCCTCTGCAGAAGCCCTCTTATTTTTATTTATTTATTTATTTTTTTGGAGAGATTTTTGCCATAGGGTGCATGCGCTCGTCAGACAGAATGGCCACGCCGCAATCCCTTCTCTTCCATTCTCCTCTCGGGATCTTGGGCATGCACGCACATGCACCCAGCATGAGTTGAAGCCACCGGGTCCGGGACTCGAACCACAGTCGACTACATGGGAGTCCAGAGACACAGCCATTGCATCAACTACTGGTCCCAAGTGAAATGATTCACAAAAAAAATCCACAAAGATCTTCTGGAGAGAAGCCAGACAAAGCAGACTTCCCACAGGGTGATTGGGCAGCGTTAATTAAACACATCCCCAGGGCCAGCAGGTGGCATGGTGGCTAAGGCATTGGACTCCCACATGGCCAACTGCAGTTCGAGTCCTGGACCCGCAGCTTCAAACTCAAGCTGGGTGTGTGCATTCGTGCGTGCCCAAGATCCCAGAGGACAATGGAGGAGAAGGGATTGTGATGTGGCTATCCCCCCTGGGGGGTGATTTCTCGCTTTCCCCCACTCTGGTGGCCTTTCCTTGGGACCCAGCCATGAGGGGAGGGCTCAGAGCAGGCCCGGGCGCTGAGGCCCTTCCTGATGACCTGGGGCTGTCGCTGTCTGCAGGTGTGTGGAGTGGGCTGGGCGTGCAGCAGAGCAGAGCGGGGCCTCCCGGGGCCGTGTGTGCGCCCACATCCCCACCCTGCAGGCCAGCCCCATGTGGCCTCCGTCGGGGTCCCTCAGCCATGCCTGAACTGGAGGAGCCCACCACATGGTAGTCCTGGGTCCCCTTGGGAGGCTGGCACAGGACATGGTCTTGGTAGAAAGTCCTCTGGCCTGGCATCCCCTCACTGGTGGGAGAGACCCGGCCACCCCCAGGTCTCGATTCAAAGCCCGCGTTTCCTCTGAATGACCAGCAAGGCTGGAGCAAGCCAGAGCGCACATGGCTTCTCTCTGGGGTCCTGGGGGCTGTCGCCCACCAAGTCTGGGGTCAGAGTCGCCACCCCAATGCCCATAACCACATGAGGGTTGCGGGGTACCCACCCACGCTGTTTTTTGTTTCCTCGCCCCAAAAACCCTTTCTTGAGAATTCTTGAACATGGCCTCACTCACAGCAAGAGACAAAAACAGTTTGGCCTGGAGGGTGTGGGAGGGACCAGCAGTTAGCATCATGGCTATGTCGCTGGACTCCCATATAGTCGACCGCGGTTCGCGTCCCGGACCCAGTGGCTTAAAACTCACACCGGGTGCGTGCATGTGCGTGCCCAAGATCCCGAGAGGAAAATGGAGGAGAAGGGATTGCGGCGTGCCATCCCCCCGGGGGGTGATTTCTCACTTTCTGTCTCTCTGTCTCTCTCTGTCTGGCGAGGGCTCCCGCCCTATAGCAAAAAAAAGAAAAAACTCTCAAAAAAAAGGCCTGGGGCCATTTCAGTGGTTTCAACAGATCTGTCCCGGTACAGCGATCCAGGCCGGGGCGTGGGGACCCCATACACCCCGTACCATGGCTGCGCGGTTGCTTCCTCTGCTCAGGGCCCTCTGATCTGTCTCATCCACCCTGGCTTGCTCTGGCTGTCTGGTTGTTGTCACTGTTATTGGGTCGGGGGTGTCCCCAAGATCCCTGCCTCCTCTGATTAAGCCGTTCCCCTCCCACATGACACCCCTTGTGCCCAGGGCAGGTGACGGCTTGCTGTCCCCATCGCTCCCTCCCGGCTGCTAAGGGGCACAGCTCCCAGAATGCCCCTCTGGGAAAGGCCCTGAGAAGTCCACCTGCCGTGTCCTGGTGCCTGGGTGACAGTCACACGGACTCAGCGGTTGTCCAGGCAAAAGACACATAAACTATCCTCTGCCTCCAAGTCCTGACCCCCGGGTCAGAGGCCTCCTGACCGGGCCCTGTGCTCACCTGCACGGCCTCAGAACAGCCAGGCAGGTGCGCCAGGCCGGCGCCACCGCCCAGGGTCTGCAGGTCGTCCTCGCCCTTCCTCCCGACCCCGCCTCGCCCTGCGCCCGCGGCGCAGGCCCGCCGTTGTCGGCTGTCCCATCTCCTCTCCCGCTATCGCTGGTCCTGGAGCCGTCTTCCCCGTTGTTTTCCCCGCAGTGTGGTTTGTTTTTCCGTTTCTTCCTTCTCTCATGTGAGAGCCGGAAAGACAGCTCCCGCAGTCTTTCCCACCCCCTGGTCCCAGCCAGCCTGTTCAGGGACGCCTTGGGACTCGAACCCGGGACTCTTCGTGACATTCCAGCGTTTGTAGAGTGTGGTTCCCACCGCGCCACCAGCTGGTCCTAACATCGTGTTCGTTCTTTCTCTCTCTCTTTTTTTTTCTTTTTAATTTTATTTAGTCCTTCATTTATTTTAATTTGACCAGAGAGAGAGGGAAAGTGAGAAAGCAAGCCACCAGGTCCAGTACTCAAACCACCGTCGGCCATGCGGGAGTGTCCAGCACCTTAACCACCACACCACCTGCTGGGGCCCCATCTTTCTCTCTTTGTCTCTTCTTTCTTTCTCTCTCTCTCTCTGTCTTTCGCCGTAGGGTGCATGCACTTGCCAGAGAGAGACAGAGACAGTGAGAGGAAAAGGGAGAAAGCATCCCCCAGGTGGATGGCCCCACCGCAACCCCTTCTCTCTTCTCCCAGGACTTTGGGCACACACACACACTCACACCTTCTCAGATTGTCAAGCCACCAGGTCCAGGATTCGAACTACAGTTGGTCAGGTGGGAGGCCAGCGCCTTACCAGCACGCCACCTGCTGGCCCCTTTCTGATGTGGTTTTCAAACTGCCAGGGACTGGATTCGAACTGCAGTCAGCCACGTCCGATCTCGTCCGCATGCATGGCATTTAACCTCGGTGCTACAGGGCCAGCCCACCTCATCTGTGTAAAATGAGCAGGCCTGTGGCATTTGGCACGTTCACCAATGTGCAACAATCAGTTATGTTTGGTTCCAGAACATTCTCATCCCCTTACAGGAGACTTCAGCCCCCCTCCCCAGCCCCTGGAGACCCCCGGTCTGCTCCCTGTCTCGGTGGTCCTGCCTGTTGGGGACATTTCACATCCGCGGGCCCCACACCCTGTGGCCTTTGGTGTCTGGCTTCTCTCACTCAGCGTCATGTGTTGGTGTTCCGTTCCTGTTCATGGCTGAGTAATATTCCACCGTGTGGATAACGCTACATTCTGTCCTTCCATTTGCCAACTGATGGACGTGTGGGTTCTTTCCACCCTTGGGCCCCTAGGGCCTCACCCTTCGGGCCTTCGAGCTGAGGCTGATCCAGAGAACGGCTGAAACGTGTCCCCTCATTGCCCTAAATCTGGCCTCCCTCAGCTTCTCGAGCCTCTTAGGGCTCACCTTGGAGCGTCTCTTCCTCTTCCCCCATCGCTGGCCTCGTCTGCTCAGTTGCAGTGGCCACCCCTCTAGCCCTGGGCAGGCCACTCCCTGCGGGCCAGGCCCACTCAGCCCTCTCGTAGGTCTCAGGTCACTGCCCTAAGCCTCTTTAGCCCAATGAACAGTTAGTTGCCTTTAAACATACGGCAGGCGTGGACAAGCGGCGCGGTGGTTAAGGCACTGGACTCCCACATGTGTGACCACGGTTCGAGTCCTGGACCTGGTGGTTTGCTTTCTCACTTTCCCTCTCTCTCTCTCTCTCTCTCTCTCTCTCTCTAGCTCTCTGTCCCTCTCTGGTCAAATTAAAATAAATAAATAAGGGACCAGCAGTTAGTGTCATGGCTATGTCACTGGACTCCCATGTAGCTGACCGCTGTTCGAGTCCCAGATCTGGTGGCTTAAACTCACGCCGGGCGCGTGTGCGTGCGTGCCCAAGATCCCGAGAGGAGAATGGAGGAGAAGGGATTGTGGCGTGGCCATCCCCCCTGGGGGGTGGTTTCTCGCTTTCTGTCTCTCTGTCTCTCTCTCTCTCTGTGTTTGGCGAGTGCACGCGCCCTGTAGCAAAAACCTCTCAAACAAAAATAAATAAATAAAGTTAAATAAAATAATTATTTCAAAACAAAACAGGGACCAGCAGGTGTTGTAGTGGTTAAGGTGCTGGACACTCCCACATGGCCAACCATGATTCAAGTCCCAGACCTGGTGGCTTGCTTTCTCACTTTCCCTCCCCTCCCTTTTCTCTTTCTGGTCAAATTAAAATGGATGAATGAATAAATAAAAAATTGAATGAATAATTCTAAAAAATAAACAGGGGCTGGCAGGTGGTGTGGTAGTCGAGGGCACTAGAGTCCTATATGGCCAACAGTGGTTCGAGTCCCAGACCCGGCAGCTTGCCTTCTCACTTTGCCTCTTTCTCTCTGTTCCTCTCTGGTCAAATTAAAATAATAAATGAATAAGTAAAGTTAAATAAAATATTTTTTTTAATATTTCATGATAAAGGCAGAGACAGAAAGGAATAAATCACCCCCCAGGGGAGATGGCCACGCCGCAATCCCTTCTCCTACATTCTCCTCTCGGGATCTTGGGCACGCATGCACACGCGCCCGGCGTGAGTTTTAAGCCACCGGGTCCGGGACGCGAACCCCAGTCAATTACATGGGAGTCCAGCGACATAGCCGTTTCGCCAACTGCTAGTCTCAATAGAATAATTTTTAAAAGAAGCAGTGGTGCCGGTGCCCTTATCTCCCTGCAGTGTGGTCAGTTTGCTGTGACCCTGGTCTCCGTGGTGACAGGCATGCGGGTGAGGCCAGCTGGCCCTCCTCGGGTGCAGGAGGCCACTGAGCGGGGGCGCCCTCCAGCGCTACAACCTCGGTGGTGTGTTCCCACGGGCGGTCCGCACCCCCAGGGTGCTCGGCCTGGCTCTGGCTCTGGGAGCAGGTCCTGGCCCTGCAGAGCTCCCCGGGCTCAGTGCGTGCTGGGGCTGGGTGCCCCGTGGGTGCTGCTGTGGAGCCCTGACCCAGGTCTGCCCCGTTTTGCAGGAAGCTGTGCCAGCCCCCGAGCTCGGGCAGCCTCCCCGCGGAGCCTGCCGCCTCCAGTCCTCCAGGCGAGCATGGGCGCTCGGCCTCGCCCCCTCAGGTAGGACGGGCACGGGGTGACAGTGGGGAGGGGTGCACGCCCGCAGCCAGGGGCCGGCCTGCGTCCCGGGCCCCTGCCCTCCAGGCCTGTGGGAGCACCCTGTGCACAGCGCCTGCCTCACGGGCTCCTTGCAGCTGCTTATGGAAGAGCTGCCCCGTGTCAGCCCAGGCTCGGGGAGCCCAGGTTCCTTCCAAGGCGGAGCCTGGGGCTGTGGGGGTCCCCCTGTGCCCTGACTTGGAGGGAGGCCGCGGCGGGGGACCATGCTGAGAATGCACAGGCTCTGCAGACCCACCCCAAGGTTGCCCTCTGACACGGGGACGCCGGGTCCGCCCTTGCTGGGGTATGTGGGTGCGGACCCCATCAGGCCTGGCAGGTGCCGCGCTCCAGCCTGGGCTTGGCCTGGTGTCCAGGCGCCCCCTTGTGGCCAGCTCGGGTCCTGCACGTGGCAGTGGCTGGGATTCCGGGAACTGGGGGACCTGGGGGGCCTGGCTGCCGC